ACCGTCCTTGTAACTGTCTACGCCTCTCTCTTTATGCATGAACAAATGTACGCTGGCAGGTATATTATATAACTCTAAAAAATAATAATATTTAATTATTTATTCTATTTATAATACTTTTTTCATCTTAGCTTGAAATTATTTTAGTATTTAAGATTTCATAAAGTTTCCATTCAAATTTTAGTATCATTAGTGGTGTAAATGTGGCCTCTTAACTTTTAAAACGTGACATATATTGTCCTTCTCTTAAATTATTAGTGGTGTAAATGTAGTTACGCGACGTCTTCATTGTTCGAAAATCACGTTTTTTTTTTCTCCATTTTTCTTTCTTTCATTTGTTTTCCTTCCACCGACAACAATGTTTTTCCTTCTTCTTATTTTGGGTGGACAATATATATCACGTTTTGAAAATTGAGAGACAACATTTACACCAATAATAATTCAAGGGTAATATTGATAATTGACATATTTGTGATGGATATAAATTACAATTTTTCCATAATTATTTTTCCTGTAAATTTTGAAGTGAATGATTGTTATTTTCTTTGACAGCTTGGCGGGAGCGGTTGCTGTAATAGTTGGGCTATATGTGGTACTCTGGGGAAAAGCCGAGGACCATGGTGCAAATAAATTACAGAATGACCAAAAAGCAACTATTACAATTATTTGTGAATCTTCAGATTTGGAAAATTGTAATGTTGACTTGAATCAACCCCTTTTGGCTAACAAATACTCCCTCTGTCCCATATTATGTGTCTTACTTTCCTTTTTAGTTTGTCCCAAAATGTTGTCCACTTTCCAAAATTGAACATCACCATCATTCTACTTTTTTCAAATTACCCTTCTAGCTTTTGCTTTCTTTATTATTTTTATTTCCAAAAGTGAAAAAGTGAGGGACATAATTGGAAAGTGCATAACATTTATTTTAATTCATTAAAAAGCGTGCAAAAAGTAAATGAGACATCCAATTCGGGACGGAGGGAGTAATTAATAGGGAAAATCATTCTAAAATATTATTGTTTTTAGATAAACTTTTTATTAAAGTTGAAATTTAGTTTCCATCTGTACCTGGTGGTAGTTTGCATTTGGACTTCTTTATTGATGTAAATTTGAATTTTGGAGTTTATAATATTTTTTTTTTTAACTTCACAACTTTTTACATTTGGTGAGCTCATTTTAAGTATAAATTGTTAGGAATAATACTCAAATAAACTACCGAATTATACGCGAAAATTCAGTTGGGTCATCTAACTCAAATTTATAATTGGGTCACTGAACATTCTAAAATTATGCAATTAAACCAAAATTGACACGTTCCTTCAGTTACTGCTGATGTGTTATCATTCTATTAAAAAAATTATTATTTTTATTTTATTTTACTAATTTTAAATAAAATTAAATATAAGACAATAAAAAAAATAAATAAAACAAAAACACACATCTTCAGTCTCTGCCCAAGGGACAAGTCAATGTCCTCATATTTCTAGTCTGTCCTTAATTGATTGTCTCATTTGGTTTTTGCACGACTTTTAATACAACATAACAAATGTTACTCACTTTTCAATTTTGTCCCTCTAAAGTATGTATTATTTGTACAAAGTACAATTGTACTTCTAGAAATTTGAAAAGTCAAAACGGTAAATTGAAAAATGTAGAGCGATAGTTATGTTCAATTTTAGAAAGATGACACTATTTTGAAACAAACTAAAAAGGAAAGATAGACAGGTAAATGGGAAAGAGGGGGTATGGCGGCTGCTGAGAAGAGAAAACAGAGAATAACAAGCAATATAATATCCTCGTGAATCGAAAGAGAAATCATATATATATATATATCAAATAATCCCTTATTCTCTTATACTAAATGCATGCATATATAATCCAGTCAAAAGTGAAGCTGTACAGCAAAGTGTATATATAGGCCGGATCATCGGAGAATTTATATGTGGTGAGCTAGCTAGGGGTAGCGCTTCCATGAATCGTCGGCCCTGTTGTTTCTAAAGGCGCAGCATCCAACAGTGTATACGATGATGAGGAAGACGATGAAGATGATGTTGAGGATGGCTACCTTCTTCCAGTCACTCTTAATGTTGTCGATAAGCCCAGCTTTGCAGGACTGGCAGTTGTAGCACAGTATGTTGGCCTCATTGCTCCAATTATTACAGTCCGGATTCGTGGACGATGAGGTTGCACTCCTAGTCCAGTTGGTCGGGCTGACGTACTCGAATTTGCAGTCATCTGATGGCTTGCAGCAACCAGACTGCATGGTAAAATAAAGTTAAGGAAAATATACATTCTAGTCAAAGAAAAAATAATATTTTTTAGTAAAAAAAATATGGACATATCCAAATTTCTATCTCAGGGATTAGTTCTCTCTCTCCCTTTGATGTGTATCAAATGAGCGAGTTGACTCGCACTCACTCGCTATTTATATGATTGTTATTTGAGCTAAATTGAGTTAGTCCAATTAGAATATGAGTCTAGACGAGTTGAATTAAACGTCAAAAAACTTAACTTAGCCCAACTCGTAACTTAAAAATTTTTAAAGTTTTTTCTTTCCTTCAAACTTCTTTAATTTAGAAATATTACATTCATCAAATGATTAATTAAATATAAATTCATCAATTATGCCCGGAAAACGTGTTCACCATGAACGGTGAACACAAGGCCAAACGACGTCGTTTTTAGGCCAAAAAAAAAAAAAAAAAACCGCGGATGTGGAGTTAACGGCGCGCGTTGATCAAATTATGAATTTTCTGTTATGAGATTATGAATTTTCATAAAATTCATAATCTCATAACAGAAAATTCATAATCGCATAACAGAAAATTCATAATCGCATAACAGAAAATTCATAATCGCATAACAGAAAATTCATAATCTCATAACAGAAAATTCATAATTTCATAACAGAAAATTCATAATCTCATAACAGAGAATTCATAATTTCATAACAGAAAATTCATAATCTTATAACAGAAAATTCATAATCTCATGGTTCCAAAGTGAATGTGTAGGCATGGTTCCAAAGTGAATGTGTAGGCATGGTTCCAAAGTGAATGTGCAGGCATGGATTCATAATTTACGAATGTCCGTGATTTCGGACGGGAATGTGTAGGCATGGTTCCAAAGTGAATGTGCAGGCATGAATTCATAATTTATGAATGTCCGAAACCATTGTTCACCTCAAATTAAAGTGAAACCGCAAAATGTGAAAATGAAGAAGAAAAGTCACGCAATTAATTAAAAAAAAAAAAAAAAAAAGATAGCAGTGTACTAACACCGTTGGAACCGTGTTCACACGGTTCCATGGCATAACGCTCCATATAAATTGAGATGGCCAGACCAAATAATAAAAATCTTAGACGAACCATAACCCAAAAAAAAAAAAAATTGTTTTTCTCCAATTTTTTATTTTGAAATTATTATGTTTATTAAATATGAGTTGGGCTGAGCCAAGCCGAAAAATACACATCTTGGGCTAGCCCGACCTACATCCCAAAAAAGGTATGGAGTAAAATGTTTTTTAGTTCAATTTCTTTAATTTAAAATTATTATATTAATAAATTTATGTATTTTATTATAATAAATTATAAATTAAAAATTATTTTTTTAATACTCATAATTCTTTACAAGGTATTATGTATTTTATACCTTTTCAATCATTTTCAGTCAATAGAATCTAAGTCCCTACCACCTATGGTTTAATTACATCTTTTTATTATAATTATTATCAAATTTTATAATTATTATTAATTTTTATAATTATTATTAATTTTTATTTATAATTTTATATTAATATATAAATAATAATAATAATAATAATAATAATTATTATTATTATTATTATTATTATTATTATTATCATTATTAAAATAATTCATATTCAAACCCCACATCCCCAACATTTGAAAAGCCACAACTTTATATCATCATGTAACAAAAAGAAGCACATAAATATACTTTTTAACTCTTTTTTGAAAACACATACTTTTTAACTTTTGGATTAGATCCATGAATTCAACAAATGATAGGTTAAAGTAAGATTGGTAACTCCCAGAATAAGAAGAAGCAGCAGCAATTTTTTAATAATAAATTCAAAAGTCAACTGAAGTAGAGAGAAATGAAGCAAGCATCCATCACACACACAGAGTTGAGTTCCACACCCCAAAAACAAAATCAAAAACCAAAATTCAAAACAAAACACAGAATTCCAACACAAATTAAAGGAGATCCAACCTATTCAATTATTATAATTCCATAAATAGTAAAGAAATTAATGGTGAGCATATGATATATATACCTGAAGGGCGGAGAGATGTTGGTTGTAGAAACTTTGAACCGGAGTTCCAGATCCTTCATCAATCAAGCTCTTGCAGACTTTACTGTCCTCGATGCAGCTCCGAATCCTCCGCCAGTTCCTATTCACCCTCCTCTGAAGCCAGTTGGAGTAGTCCCCAAGCCGATACTCCTTGTAGCCTTTCCCGGAGATGGCCTCGCCGGCGCCCTTGTTGGTGACCACAAAGGCGAAGATAGTGAAGCAGAAGAGGAGGAGGATGAGGAGGAACATGACGAATAGGTATATCCAGAGGAGCCAGGTGACCCGGCAGCAGGCGCCGACGAGGCCTGCGAGTGAGAGCAGCATGATGAAAACCCCTAGGGCTATCACAGGTTTGTCCAGGAAACGCTCGCACTCCGTGTTGGCTTGCCTGGATAGCCATATCCCGCCGCCGATGATCGGAATGGAGATTAAGAATGTGATTATGTTCAGAATTCCCAGCAGGTTGTTGCTCACCCTCACCATCGATATTTCTTAGTAAAATTAACACTTGGACTGAACCACTAGACCCGATCTTCTTTGCTTTTCTTTGATCGAGGAATCAGAGAATAGAGGAAATTTTAATTTTGTGTTGAGGATAATTGTTTTTTCGAAATAGAGGATAATTAAATATAGCCAAGTGAGAGGATTGGATTGTATTGACTATTGAATATGGACAGAGGAAGTAGGAAAGAAGTCGCTGAAAGAAACGCGTGGGGTGGGGTGGGGTGTTTGAACTCTGAACTAATGATAAGCTCACAAAATTTCGTTCCTATCGCGTAATCAATTCACCGATCATATTCAAGTTTTTATTTATGCATAAGAGATTTAATCTAAACCTTCTAAGTATCTTTGAATCATTTTTTCTATACATATTTGTAGTAGAATTCAAATATCTACACTATTAATTTCGATCATAACTTTTAAATTATGTGACGAACCAACTACGCTAAACTGTCGTGCTAATAAAATATATTATTGTCTTGGGCACTGAATTGTATTAAATATAATTAGCAAATGATAAATAAATACCATAGCCATGTTTGGTAAATAGTTGTTAGCTGATTGGGTTAATTCGAAGGCATAACTAGTTGATAACATTAGCTGATTTTAGAAACGTGTTTAGTAAATTAGTTGTTTTCTTACAGTTGTTTGATATAATTTATTTTCTAAAAATGCTAATTGAAAAAGTTGATTTAAACAGGTTTTTGAATTTTAGCATTTTGAAGTTACAAAAAAATAATTAATTAAACATTTATATTGATTTTTTAAATAAGTCAAATAATTAATAGTGGTCAAATAAGTCAAAATTAGCTGATAAGCTAACTATTTTACCAAATAGGACCCATATGAATTTTTTTAATTTATATAGTAATTAAAAATATGAAATTTCGAACTTATTTATTCCATATCTTTATTATTTTAAATTTACATATTTGGAGATTACATTAGAGTTAAATATTATCAAAACCATTTCAAACTAACCAATTAATTTGATGAATACGTAAACAATATTAATTATTGTTGAAGGAGAGTATAGCATGTTTAATTTAGAGTTAATAACCAAAGTGATCCCTCGACAATGTTACAATTATCAATTTAGTCCTTGATTATTATTTTTATCTAATTAAGTCCTCAACTATTTAATTTTTATCCAATTTAGTTCTCTGTTAATTTGAATGTTTGTTGACTGTCAAAAGTGGGGATAAAATTGTAATTTACAAGTTTTCTCCTTCCTCCTCATATAGCAGTGTCAAACCATGCAGCAATACGTTCCGATCGGCTTCCGACCGTCAAAAAATCGTTGAAAATCAAATCCTTGGACTCTCCGAGGCACACCCACTATTTTGACACTGACTGGTTTGAAAGTCAACCGGAGCTTATTGTTGTATGGTTTGGCGTTGCTAAATGAGGATGAAGGAGAAAACTTGTAAAATTATAACTTTATTTCCACTTTAACAGTTAACAAACAGTCAAATTAACAAAGAATCAAATTGGACAAAAATTACATAATTAAAAATTTAATTAGGTAAAAATAATAGTCGAGAACCAAATTGATAATTACAGCATAGTCGAGGGACCATTTTGGTTATTAACACTTTAATTTATGATGAGGACAACTTGAGCGAAACGGCGAAGTAGAACGTGAGAAAAGTCTACGCGCCTTTTCCCTTCGCTTACGTTTGTGAAACGAAATAGTCGTGAGGACAGTGGGACCCACTCAAATTTGGATATTTTACTGCGTGTCGTTAAGACTTCAGAATTTCCTCATTTCCCATGGGCTGATTAATTTATTAGATTCGAATTAATTTATTAACTGTAATGTATATAAATACTAAATATACATTATATTAAATATGCATTATGTGTAATAATAATCATTTTATATTATGTTCGTAAGATTTACTCTATATGTTCATAAACATAAATTTTAATATCCATAAGCACTAAACTAAATAAAAATTATATTTATTTTTATTTACTTTATAAAAAATTTTAATGTTCATAAAATAAACTTTTTCTTTTTGTTTGCAAGTGCTTAGCTCATTGTTTTGTTAGATAATATTTGAAAAAAAAAAAAACTAAGGTTGGAAATTCGACATAGTTGAGGAAGAAGAAAATCAAACTTTTCATTATTTTTATTATTATCAAATAAATATTAACAATCTATAACAACATTAAAATAATGAGACAATATGACTCATTCAATTTCTCTCTCTTATTAAACAAACATAAATAAATAAATAAATTGGTACTAAATATCATTCAAATAACTATTGTATAGACACACTAGCCTAATGTGTGAATGTGTTTAATATTTAAATGATAATCACATTGTTGACATTGAAAATTTGATAATAATACTTTTGAATACATTTTTGATAATGTTGATATTATTTAATTTGTTTAATTAGATAATTAATATCAAAGTTTGAACCTATTAAAACTCTCTTATCCTCCTCTTCTCCCAAAAGGTTCGAACCTTTGGTCTTTTCTCTCAAATGCTGCCCACTGAATCATTGAGCTAAGTCCATGCGGGCAAAACTCACTTATCCTACGATTATAAATAAGAGGTCACATTCATCTTAAATAAGAGATATCTTTGAAAACTGATGCTATTTGAGTCTGGAAACCCTTCAACATAGAGCAAGTCATATACGCAGGAATCATAGGACTCACTTTATTTACACTCTTGTAACTAATTTGGAATTTAAAATATAAAAACTTTGAATTTATTGTGTTCATGCACACAAATATAATTTATTTAAAACTTTTTCACCCAATATTTGTTTATTACATGAATTTTTTTATCATCTAAAGCGTAAACGTGACCAATTAGTCAATGAATATCCAATAATTTTTATTTTTATTTTTTAAAAATCTTTCTTAAAAATTATCAAATAAAAAGAGACATTATGTAATAATTGTAATAAAGAAAATAACATATTTCTTCTAAGGCTTAGAGAAGAAGGAATCCACGTGGGTGCGATGTGGTCCTTCGATTGCGACTAGATTTGTTGAGGTCCGCGTATCGTGCAGGAAATGCGCACAACAATTCCTCATTACATAAGTGCAGTTTTTTTTTTTTTTTTTTTTTTTTTTTTTTTTTTTTTTTTTTTAAGGTTTCGCTGCTTCTTCTGATTTCGGACTCCATATACTCAACCTTAGATTTTTGAGAAAGTAAATTAAGTTACCCTAAATCTATAATTTTAAGATTCAATATTTAATTTTGCATTTTTATGTATACAAAAATTCAACCCAAACTTTTATTTGAATGTTACTGGCCCTATTACATTGTAGTATCTGTTCTGAAGCGAGGCTCGAACTCATAACATAACATTCCAAATAGAAGTCCAAGTGTCCAACCCGAATACTATTAGACCACATAGTCTTGGTAATTCAACCCAAACTTAAATTCTTAATATTTGACAAAAATTAAACAGTCAACTTAAAGTTAAAAACAAATTTTAAATAAAACTTTTCATTTATTAAATCAACTAGTTTTTTACGCGCATTGCGCGATTGGGATAATGCCCAATGTTTTTTTTTTTTTAAATAAGTACTTTAAAATATATTAAGGCAAAATTATATTGAAATTGTTCATGCATAGATAATTGAAGGTTGAATTTGCGTATTTAAATAGGTAATTCTTCTTCCAAAGGTTGAGTCCCCAACCCCAAGGGCCCTGGTTCAGCAGACAGGGCCAAATGCTGATATGCAAAAGGAATCTGCCCACTTTGGACATAATTCCCGCATTACCGCCGCCGAGGTTCAAACCTTGGTCTCTTCTCCCAAATACTACCCACTAAACCATTGAGCTAAGCCCGTGCGGGTTAAATATGTAATTCTAAGTTTACAAATGCAAGATAATATAGTCAATATTGATTATAATTGTCAATAAAATAATTGTATAGGTATGGTTGAAACCAAATTGGGACATAAGGGAGAACAAATAAAAATTAGGGCATAAAATATTAAATATATACTAATATTGTTTGAGGAGATTCTGACATTAGGATTTGTGGTTAAGTTCTATTAAGACTTTAATATTAGAATTAGATTAATGGTCTAGTTATAATTCTATATTAGACTTTAATATTAGAATTATACTAACGGTGAATTAACGGAAAAGTTAAATGGATAATCATATAATCATATAATTAAGGATAAATTAGAAAATCTTAAAAGAAAAAAATTAAAACCTGAACAATATGAACCATTCATTTGATTTAATAATTTGGCGGTCATTTTTTCTACCCAATGTTAATAATTAAATAAATTCGCTGGTCAAATCCGCTAGTATAATCCGCTAACGCTAATCGCTAACTGCTGATTGTCAAACAAGGACATTGCGAGATAGTTATCACTTCAATTTGTTGTGTGATTTGAATACTCTCTTTATCACAAAATCTCTCAAGTAGTTAATATGATTGGCTTTATTAATTATATTTTTTTTAATTTTTTCATGGTATTAATAAAATACTTGGTAAATAAATACATAGCATTATTTTATGTTATAACTTTGATATTTAATTAGAAAAATAGTGCACAAAAAAGATAATAGATAATGTAGTGAATATAATCAATTGATGAATTTGAATGTAAAAGTTTTTACATTTGAGAAAAATAAAGACAATATAATTAATGAAAATATTTCTTTTAATTAATTTATTGATAATTAATAATTTGTTTTTCACTGAATAAAGACATTGTAAGGACAATGTAGCGAATATAATCAATTAATAAATTTGAATATAAAGAATTTTTATATTGAAAAAAATAAAGACAATATAACTAATAAAATTATTTATCTTATTTAATTTATTGATAATGAATATTTTTTTTTTAATAAAGACATTGTGGACACATAATTCTAAATTAAAGAAATGCATATGCATTATTTTTTATTGTAACTACTAAATTATTATTTATATAATTTAATAAGAGTAAAATAGAGTACTAATTATGTCAACTTTGATTGGGATGAGGTTCGAACCTAAGACTTTTTTTATTGAAATCAATGAGTAAGTTAACGGTGAACTAACGGCAATTCTTAAAATTTTAACGGAATTAGTAACGGTGTGTGGGTATTTTAGGAAATTTTAGGGTAAAATTCAATCTGATCAATCTTTTAATCAATCTAAGCCATTCATTTGATTAAAATCTGTGACCGTCATTTTTTCT